ACTGAGTAAATTTTAATCTAATTGACTGAGATTGAGTAAATTGAGCATGACTGAGGTTGAGTAAATTGAGCATGACTGAAATTGAGTAAATTTTAACCTAATTTGAGATGCAAGTATCTCACACCACACCATAAATGACTTCAACAGTAGCAGAAAGGTGTTCTATAATAATAAAGGTACGGTAAGGTACACGCAAAGAAACCCATAGTTAAAATGTCAACCCACATGAGTCAAACGAGCAAACGTCTACAACAACAGAGATGAATGCTCTATAACAAGAGAGCATTTCATGGAAATTCTCGTGCATTTACACTTTTCCTTCTATCATTAAAAAAATTAAACATACCTAAGGAAGATGAAGTTTTGAACTGCTTGAGTCCGGGTGAAGTTGAATAAACGGTTAAAAATTCATTAGCAATTTTGAGAGAAGGGTTCCTTTCTTCCACAGTATTCAAAACTTCGGCATCTGATGCAAATTTTCAAGAATGTAACCAAGATATTACAATAATAATTGTAGCTTTGCAGTTAACGATCAAGTACAACCCGAGAAGAAAATTAAAGACTTTTTTCTGTAAACAGTTAACTACGATTGAAAGAAGTTATAAATTCGATTATGACTAACCGACTCGCTGGAACTCATTTTGGTCTCGCCTAATATCATCAAGAAATTCCCATGAGCCATTATCTCCCTCATAAGTATGGCAATCCATAGCCTCGATTACATTTTTCCACAGTAATTCATTTTTCAAAGTACTCACATCTTCAGCAAGAGGTGAAAATTTGCGCATAAGTGGAGCAATAAAAGAGAGCGACCTAAAGATGGTAAATGCGGTGGTTAAATATTGTTGAAGCTATACTTTTAAAGCGACAGAATGAAAATAAATATAGAGATTTCTATGACTCTATTATTTTACAAAAATGAAACGACATTTCCTTAACTTATAGCTTGTAGGAATCCTTCCATCTTTCTCTAAATGACATCCTTCCCATTTCATCCTTATTTTTAAGAAATCTTGAGCCAAATCAATATGACATATGTAAGTTTACCTCTCCAAACTATAAGAATCAAATGGGAAATGAGGTTCAAAAGGCATCATCTCTGCTGGTTTTGCTGGCAAAATATGATTTACATAGACAAGCTGCATGGATCTGCAAATATTCAAAAAGCAAGAATTAGTATTCCAAAAGTTTCATTAGCTGAAAACTAAGCTGGACTTCCAAGATTTCAAATTTTATATGCACGATTTCAATACAAACATTTGACTGCGACAGAAATGATTTTTGAATTAAATTCAAAAATTCCATCGAAATCATAGACTTTCTAGTCGTTTAAATAACTCATTTCTGGAAGTGATGTTAAATACCAACCGCTAATTTTTTAGAAGATTATAACACTTATCCGAAAATGGCATGTGAAAGTGGGCAAAATTTTTGACCAAGATTAACTGAAGACAAATCACACAAACATCTAAGTCTGACCTGCTTATTGTTGCAAAACATAAAGCGACTGGATGGCTAATATATGATAAGGGCTCTAATGTACTGTGGACAATATGTCCCAGCCCCCAGTGATGTATCTTGATCATTTCTGAAAATGAATGCCTTGAAGATTTTAATTTCCCTTTTCAAATTCATATAGATCATAGAAGGATTCTTTATGGATCCATATGGATCTTTTTATCATTTACTACAGGTAATGACCCTGTGGAACTGTAAGTTAAATGTAACTGCCTTTTAAAAGGACTCCAGATATCAACTCACAATTTATTCCGTTCCACCAGCATTTAATGTCAGGCTGCAGTGATTCGAATCAGCTACCTATTCAACAAATGGCAGTGTCTTCTCAGCCTTCCTAGGTTTCGAAAACTTGTATTTCATACTTTTTCAACATCTGTTTACCATTAACCAATAATGACGGAATACTGCTCAAGTCATATTTATAGAACAAACAATATACTAATTGTTAAACACCACTACAAAATAACACCAAAATAACGAGCGCTAACCTTTCGCTTGTACTATTTCGCGGTATCGAAAACAAAACGCAACGAGAAAGGCTTGGAAGACAGCATAGAACGTTCCATGCCGAGTCGAACCTGCCGTTGCATCAGTTGTCCGATCAATCATCTCATTCACATAAGTAGTACACCAGTGTGACAATACTTCCAACCATTCCATCGTTGTACTGAAAACAGAAACCAAACAAGTGATCAGAAGATTTGTTTCGGCTTTAAAAATTCTAACTTTTCAATTGATAAATCTTCCTCAACTGATCTATTACCATCAAGAGTTACAAGAAAATTTTGGAATACTTACAATACACCTGCAATGGAGTGTAATGCAAATGAAGGTTTAAAATGATGTGATACTAAGAAAGAATATATGAAGAGAGGGTTACCTGAGATCAATATATGAAGCACGAGAAAGCATGCTACCGATGTAACAAGTAGCACCCTGCGCTTTCTTCCAGTCATTAGGTGTCTGGTTTAATCGCGTAACAAAATTCCACAACCAGCTCAGAAAATCTTTTGGATAACTCTGAAATAATGAAAAAAAGTGAGAAGAAAAATAAAAAGAAGGATTTAGGAGAAAAATTATATGCGGACAAATCAAAACTTTGCGTAAGAAAAAAACAAGAAAAAATGAGCTTAGAATAACCGTACCATATCAAGACTACAGACGTAGAACCAAAGAAACGATATGTTTTTCAAACCGTGAGCCATTAGAAGATGCTCCTCGAATACAACTAATAATTCTTTTAATATTTTTCCTTTGGATGTTGATGGCAACCAACCACAACCTGCAAATAACGATTGAAAATGCGCTTGATAGAAAATGTATTCAATTAAATTTTTTAAACAGCAGCTTTCATGCCAAAAACTCTACTTGTAGCTGCCGGTGAAATAAACTTTAATGTGCTTTAAAATATGCAGCAGAGATTAGCGAACTTTGAAACATAACTTTAGTTCTTTAAAAATTTTTGGAATTCATAGATTAAAGTATTTTTCTATCCGTGATTAGCATTTTTTTGCCAAAAGGATTGAACAGCTGGGAAATTTTCAAGCGCTGGAAAAGAAGGATGTACCTATTTTCGACGGATTTTCATGACTGCAAAGTTTTCCTAAATAATCGAACATAATAGACATGCAAGTATCCAATTTTTCCACTTTATCATTATTATCTTGCACTTCGCTAATTTTTCTTTCGTATTCTTCATCCTTAAAATGATAAAGGGATAGAAATAACTATCATTTATACTATCATTTAATATGGGGCCTAAAAAAAGTCAGTCAACCTTGTCGTTTTCAAATATAACATATTCATGCCATATTCAGCAAAATATCAAAACATATAAAGAAGCTTACATGCATATTACATAATAATGCTTTATAATAGTGCTTAAATCTTCTAATTTCAAACAAGACAAGACGATTTGATGGATGGTATAAGCAATCAAAACATATAAAGAAGCTTAGATGCATATTACATAATAATGCTTTATAATAATGTTATCATACTATCATTTTATTCATATATTCATATATAAGTGATCTATGCACAGATCTCTTCGATATGCAGATCAGCCATGCTGCATTGAATAATCGAAGAGTCATAAAAATCACTGTTATTTTTCTTTAAATAAATGCTTTTTCTTCAGTGAAAATGAACTAATACATATATTCATCAAACTAACCAATAAAAATACGCTTAGACCGTCATCACAGCTATCCTCTTTCCTGCTTGAATTTTCCACCTTCGTCAATACTGCCTAAAATTGTATTTTCAATTTTTTAAGTACTAATTAGCTGCAAAAAAACCGATCCATCAATAATTATTTCTTGAAACATAAGAATGAACTGATATAAATCATAACACTCACATCGAGTTGAGCAAGACCGTCAATAATAATGCAAAAGATATCCTCTCGACACTGCGGGATATTTTGACATATTAATATAAGATTTTTTACATAACTGACATATCGAATTGATGGTACCGAATGATGAGGAAAGCGCTGACGAATAATTTTGACGAGACTTCTTGTTGCCCTGAATAAATCGACATATTCTGTGTAACATGTAAACTAACAGAAATCATTGTATTTCGGTATATGTTTCGACAAGAATACTATTAGTTCTTTGTGGCTTTTGATGTTACATGCCAACTTCAATCAAGAAAAATTCTAACTAGAAGGAATAAGAAAATCATGAATATGAACAATGAACTAAAACTGAACTGTAAAAAAGTGTATGAATTCAGAGGACATTCGCGACACAAGGAGCACTCGAAAATTTACAAATTAAGAAAAACTGGTATGAAGACAATATAGGAATAAAGGTATCCGAGATTTAGAAGATAGCAGATATTAAACTGATAACAAATCCTACGGAACTGCAAACAAATAGTTAAGGCAAACATTCCATGTCAGATGCACTGTCCATGTTATATTTTTCAAGGTTCTATTCCATTTGTTGCTGCAGTTCAGATCAGCGACATATTTCTTAATCATATTAAGGAAGTCCCATTACCATTACTACGACGAAGACTAATATTCAGCGGGAAATTTAGAAATACAAAAATTGGCATAAATTAATTAAATATGGACTGGGATATCTTTCTTCTTTTTTGCAAACTAATGAAAATCTCAAAAATAAAACTCATCTATACTATTTGAAAATAAAGTGAAGTAAATTAAAGCACATGTTCTTGCAATCACTGTGAAAACTTACAGTGGAAAACATTTCAGTATAAATCCCAAACCATCACTTGCCAAATTGTATATATTGTCTTGTTCTTCTTCTGTGAGACATAACGTAAACACAGCAGTATTTCTGTTCATAATGTTATTTTTACCCTCTGAAATACTGAACTGAAATGAAGAACAGAGCACTATTAATCAACGTGAAACAGCTTGTTATCAAGGAAAAAACTTACTTAACTTTTCACACCTCATTCAATGCAGTGCAGTTTTTTTCACTCCTCACTATACTTTCTACAAAATGATACTTGTCTTTTCTTACTTGTCTTTTTTCTGTTCCGAATTTATAATATACAAAGATTGATTAACCTTGATTTTGACCAGTACTAGAATGAAGTTGGACTTTAGCAAGTAAATGTTCTACGAAACATCGCATAATCGATTCAGTATGACAAATGTACTGTACACCAATATCTCGAAGCAGTTTGACAAACTGAGGTCGTATCTCACTCGGAACAAACTGCCAATCCACTTGCTAAAATGTGTTTCATAATAAACTAGGCTGCTTAATCCTACTTCAAGACTACAACATGTTGCACCAAAAATACTTTGTCGCGATATAGTTCTACTAACTTGTAGATGGTGGATGGGAGATAAGACCAAAAATGTGTGTCCATGCCAATAAGCAAACGGAACTCTAAGAATTCGATTAGGTAGTAAATGACATGACAATAGCTTACATCAACAACCTTACATCGATAGTATGAATCCAAAATGCACTAATCAAATGTAGACTAACAGCAAATTTCAACACCAGCTGTTTACAACGATGGTCAAACAAATGGCCGATGTCCACAAACTGATTAAGAAAGTCGATGACTGCATGTGGATTCCACTGGTTTAAAAAATCAACAGCCTTACAAAGTTTGTTGTACGTTATCAAACCATTTATGTCCCCCTGAAAGAACTATTATAACGACACTGCTTATATTATTGTCACAAGCACATTAGCCATCGACAACGTAATGTCGAACTAAACAATTACAGAATGTTACTTAATCACAATGACTGCATGCTGTATGCAAACTAATAGTAAAGGGAATGAAATATTAGATACTGCTTACAACATCTGCTTTAAGAATGGACAATCAGTAACAGTGGTAGTGTCCGGAATGTCCCAATATTTCTTGATGGATATCAGTCTGAATTTCAATTTCAGTTTCAATAAAAAAAACTTCAATTTCAATTTTAATAAAAAGAATTTCAATAAAAACTTACTGAAAGATAAGTAGTAATAACAGCCTCGCCCGAAATTGTTTCTTGCTTAACATTGTTGGCCATTTCAGCATGACAATCGTTCAAAACAGAGCAAAAGATAGCGCTGCCCGTGAGAAACGTTACTGTAAGACAGAAAGTATTATAATCAAATCCCGAAAAACAACGTCCCATCTACTAAACACAAAAGACCTAATCCTCCTCCCCCCTCATCAACCTGACAATCCAATTCGAAGTGCAGCATTCATGAAATGATGCTAAGTCCCGCTGTGTCACTTTTGTCCAGTGAACCATTATGCAAAATTACAGTTGCTGTTGCCAGTATGAACTGCATCTTTTATTTACAAACTAACAAAAGCACATTGGATATGACGAGTAATACCGAAGCACGCAGTAAGCAAAATAAAAGCGATGAAGCAACCTAACAGAGAGATACATACCAGTGGAACTAATGGTAAGGTAAACAAATACTTATGCAATAAACATGAAGTAAATAAAAATGGCAAGACAAACAAATAAGTAAAACTAACAAAAAAGGAAAAAAAGAATCATGCATCAGTGGAATGAAAAAGCGTGCAGGAGCTATGGATAACAAACGGACAGGAATAGCAACAAAGAAGAGAGAAATTTAAGGAAATGACGCGAACAATGACAGAAAGCTATAGTAAGGATAAATTAAGACCAATCAGAAATGATGCATCAAAAGGAATGGAAAGCATACATCAGGTAAGGTTGGAATAGAATGAGTAACAGTAAAGAATGCAGAATTTCAATAAAAGAATTTATTGAATTTTCTTTGATGTATGCCAAAAAAATGCCATATATGAAATCATTTTCGCAACAAAAATAAAATTATCAAATTTACAAGTCTATTCATATTTTGAAATAAACACTATTTTTAATGCAAAAAAAAGGTAAAAATAGCCCAATCAACCTGGTGATTTTTCAGTAGATTTAACTCTACTCTCCAATCTATCTTTTCTGGCAGTTTTAATGAAATCATCTAAACGAGAATTCTTTGCATTTTTTGAATTCAACACACATGACACTAGTAAAACGCATCTGTCCATACACAGTATTAGTAAAACGCATCAGTGATACTAATTATTTAGAAATAATGATGTCACCAATAAAACTTATTAGTGTCATATTTATTTAGTTGTGTGGATGAAATATTGGAGTAAATGTTAGAGAAAGAAACGATGTGTCCATTAGCGTCCAAGAAATACAACAAACATGAAAGAAAAAGAAACACACATTATGAAATATTGTCAAAATATTAATAATGAACACGAACATAATATATTAAAAAAAATGAAACAGTTAATTAATTAAAGAAAAGTAATTGAATTGCTTCGTTGTGTTCCAATGTTTTACCCTCATTGTGATCAGAGTGGCATAAATACACTGTGCTACATTGCTCGATTCAACCAGAAACTTTAAAAAAAAAAAAAAAGAAATAGCAAATTAATAAACAAAGCAAAACAGTTGATTAAAAAAGAAAACAATTTCAATAAGAGAAGAGATAAACACCAAAAAAGAGCTGAAAACTTTGAAAAAAAAATGTCAAATTGTAAGAAGTAAAAGTTCAAAGTCCGAACAAAAGCAATAAATTAAATCACCAAAAATAAACAGGTGAATTCCTGAAAAGGTTACTTTTATGCTCGATTGTATTTGGTGATCCTAGACTTTTAGAGGACTTCTAACGCGACCTCTCCAAAGTTTTTCTTTTTCTTCTGATTTCAGTCACAATGTTATGAACATGTGATGTCATATTATAAAACATTCCTAGTCTAAAATTCAACCGTTTCATACTTCCAAAAATTCCAGAAAACAAACTTTTTCCCGCTTTCAACTTTTTTATTTCTTTGTTTTTTAACTTATTTTCTTTCCACTTTTTGCATTCTTTTTTCGTTTTTTTATTTTTTGTCAAATTACTAACCAACCTGATCATTCACTTTCCTTCATCGAATCGAGGATGAAGGACCAAAGGGGACAGCAACGGGTTAACTACATGGAGAATACAGATGTTTTGTTGCATTTGATCTGGAGAAATCTACTCTGCAAGAAAATCATGACAGAAGCTTCATCAGTTTTAATTTCCCTATATTTCACTTGCATTCCTTACATCTAAACTAAACTTTATAGCCTCCTATTCCCATTCGGATTCACTACCGCACAAAAACACAAAAAGGTATTAGAATTTTATGTTGTCGATTAATGCCCAAGGACGAGCGCCACTGAGAAATGTAAGATGATTGAAGTGTCGATGGCTTAATGGGAAGAGAACTCTTTGTTCCAGGTGAGAATTAAGCGACTTTTATAAATTTTAGTTTAAATGTAGGTAATACAAGTGGAATTAAGCTCAAATCGATTAGCTTCGATTAGTAATCATATTCCAAGCATTTTTAAACTAATTTAAATGCTTAATATATTTCTTCACACAGTTATCAAATAAATAAAAGCTCACAGCACGAGCATTCAACTGCTTTATCTTGCCCTCCTTACTTTAACGCTATTTTCTTCCAATGACGCTCCTGACATGTTAGGCTATACCTCTTCATTGTCTTCTGGTGAAGGTGTCCACTTGGTCTTGTTATCACTTTCAAGCAGAAGAGTTCACTCTGCGCTTAAGGCTGCTTCAAGTACAAATATTTTGTATTCCATTACACTTACTATGAGACATATATATATCTTTTTTCGTTATCTCATCTAAGCCTAAACAAAATATTAAGAAAACTAAAAAAGTTTATTGACAGTTCGCAATTTCAGTCACTTTTTCAGTTTCATTTTAGCAAAGATGCTGATGATAAGAAAAGTTGAAATCAACAATTCCTTCAGCTAAATTATTCTCAGTATTGGGGAAGGTAAAAAGTATCCATTAACAATATTAGGGAAAGGTAAGAAGTTTTATAATTGCGTCGAATCAGGCTACTGTTGAAGACATGGTAATAGACAGTGAACAAAGATGATCATACTTCAATCTATCTGTTTTCCACTTTTTCTCGTCAATGATTTCAGAGAAAACCAGTTGTCCTCTTTATTTCAGTTACTTTCTTGAGTGACCCTAATTGATTATTGCTCTTGACAAGTTATTTAAGGCAATAAAAGGACGGTACCAAAGCGGAATTAGTCCGGAATTTGATGACGAAATAGAAGTGCTTTTGGAGGCAAACTTTTGCAGCATCCAAATCATCCTCACGAGATATCGACCATTATAGAACGGAAGACGAACCATGAACTATCAAACTATCACTTTATACATTGCGATCAGTTGAGCAGCAATTGAACGTGAATATTTGCAGCGCAAGGGGATTTATCATATTGCGCTGTAATATTTGTTTCAATGTTCCATTCTGTTCTGTCATCTAAAAATGTCAACTCTTTTCATTTTCTAGAATCTAAAGTTGTCTATTTACTTATGCAAAATGAGACAAAATAAGAGGCACAAAAGCGACATTTCCTAGAGTATAGTGAATCTCTCTTTTTATGATATTTTACGCTAAGACATTTTTTACATCATGCATCATATATATATGAGTTATTTCAATGTAAGACGGTCTGTGCAGTAACTGATTTCATTTTCTGAATTTCGAGCCACCACAACTTCGAGTCTTAAAAAGTTTTTATAGAAAGTGGAAAAAAAAAAGAATCAAACGGATTTTGTTTACACGGACTCCCATGAAAAAAAGTATTCATACCTGAATCGTTTTTATTCCAGTCTTTCACTATCTCGAAGTATTTCTGAGCCTAAACTATACGGGTTATTTCCAATAATTTTATACGCTTCATAATATCTCATGGATTATGGGACTGAAAATAAGGCAAAAAAATGACAACGATTAGCGTTTAACAAGAAATAGTTGGTGAAGTTTTTCATTTTCTTTTCTTTTTGTTTTTAATTTTCACTACCGTTTCCTATCAATATTTTTGAATTAAATAAGGATTTGGTAAGAAATTGTTGGAATGAGTAATGGAATTTATGGGCACAAAAATTCATTACTTATTTTTCGCCACAATAACAATGGAGGAATTCTGTTTGATGGAGGAACGATGGCGGAAATGTTTCTGTCAATTCAACTCCACTTACTTTCGCATTTATGTATAAGTAATGCCGAAAAATTACTCTTGAAAATACCTGGCGATATTATGACGACCAAGCAACGGACACTTCTTGTCTGGTATTTTTGCAATATTTCAAAGTAGTCGAATCAAAATGCGTTTTTTTTCTCTGAATAAAATTAATAAATTATTCAATATTAGAAAAAGCATAGCTTTTACCTTCCTCTCATCCGTCGACAAAAGATCCGAAATAGATAATATTATCGATTTAGTCCTCTTTAATGATTATTATTGAAATTTCTAACAATTCAAGAGAACCATATCAAGCAATCTTTGTGAATTTATGAACATAATAGGCGGATAATGCTTTTCTTCTTCTTCTACATGATGCTGCAAAATAATTCCAGAAAAAAAAGAAAATGTCTTCCTTGGAAAATTCCGGGAAATATCTTTTGGGAAAGTCCAAAAAAAATTTACTATCAGATAAGTTAAGTTGGGCCAATTTCCAGTTATCTCTTGTGCATTACTTCCTTCCATATTTTTTCCATTTTTTTTGTGCATTATTTTTTCCTATACAAGTACGGAATACATCATAACAAAAAATATGTCTCACGCAGTTACTCAGACGGAGTATCAAATATAATACATTCATTTCATTTCAAAGCAAATTTGGCTATGTAATGGCCAAGAGTCAGATTACTGTTGAACAAATGATGACGGACAGTGGTCAGCGATTACAATACTTCAACCAACATTTCTTCTATTCCTTCTGGTTTGTAATTGCAGAGCAAACATATATTCCTTTAATTTCAGTTATCACGCTAGTTTGATGCTGTAAATAGAGGACGATATCCTCCTTCGAAATTAATTTCAGTGAATTAATCGAATCTCAGTTTCATGCAATATTTGTGTATGTATAATTAATAGTAACACTATTTATTCCCATTGCTGCGTCCAAAATTATTCAAAGGATTGAAGGAAGAAAATGAACAGGCAATGATCGAATGGAAGGAAAAACAAAATACAATTAAATTATGGTAATTGAACGATTTTTTATCATTATCAGGTATAATCAGCAACGAAGTAATCAGAAATATAATTGTAATTGCATGGAACATGACAGGCAAGAAATTTCCAAACAGGCAGATCCCAATCTTTTTGTAAAGTATACATCTCTTCAGAATCTTTTTTTAAAGTATAGATCCCTTCAGAATCTTTTTGTAAACTACCAGAAAACATGATTTCTATCTTCTGTGATGATTTAAATTCATTTAAAAAAGTATAGTGCAACAAAAAGAATCACTTCTTTTGAATCTTAAGATAATGCAATGATTTGACAAAGCTCTTTCATCAGACTTTTGCCATATCACATTTAATGTTTATAATATTAGACAGGATCTGATAGCCGTCTGCTTAGCAATATTTCAAACAAGTTCAACAACACTTCAAGCCAATTAAATATGCGAAACCAAAACATTAAACTTACAAAATTAGCGCTACAGTAAATTTAGCATTATTGTTTGCAACAGACTTAGCTATTACCTTCTTATTTTAATTAGTGTTTTAATTAGCGTTCATTCCATGCATTCTAAAACCCTATGAGATTATTAATTACAAAGTTTTAATAAACGGAAATAATTGTTTTGCAACTGTATTATATGCCAATTAAAATCGGTAAATAATAATGTTTATTTTCCAATTCGTTTTTCTAAATTTATTTTAAAATTATTTAAATGCGAATGTTTATGATAAATTAAATCAGATTTTTGTCAAAAACCTATTAAGAATTTCAAGGACAATCTTAATGACTTTTTTCGAAATTATTTTAAAGTTTTATTTTCGAGTTTTTCTCCAAACCTGTTTTTAGTGTACTAATTATTAACAAAACGTTTAAAAAATATCACTAAAAAGCACGAATTGAAGCGGTCCAAAACAACATTATATTTGACATAATTTAAGTGTTTCAGTGCAATTCACATGTTATTCATTTCCAAATTTAAATAACAACTCAGTTTTTTTTTAGCTTGATAAAACAGAAAGTACTATCATCGTTTTATTTCCATTTATTTGTTTTGACACATCATGATTATTTCAACTTTTACATCAATCTATTACACAAATAAACTCTTAACGTTTTCGTAGTAATGCCTAAATTTACACGTTGTGAATCAAAGAGAAAACGTTAAGTGACACGCAAAAGATACAAAATCACGTAAAAATACGCAAAAATTTTGCGTTCGCTTAAAGCATCCAGAAAATGGCCCTGAAAATTGCAAAATTTCAGTAAATTTTCCTAGCAAAACCCAGCATATCCGTGTTATTTTTAACTTTTGTTTGAAATTGTGTGAGTACATATTGTAAGTATGATAGCAACGAATACTGATAGAGAAGTGAAGTAGAGGAGAGAATTATGATATCATGATAATTTCATCGATAAACCTTCGATAGTACAACACATTCCATCAATACATATTACTGGACATCCTCCGGCTAGTGGAATGCATGACTGTGAAGTAGTACATTGCAAGCCAAAATACGCCCACCATTTGGACATTTTTGTGGTACCTTAAGCAAATGACTCATTTCATTTCGGACTCCGGAAGAAAAGTTATTTTTCAAAACGAAACGGAATCCCGCACCAAATGGACTCTATTCAATTTCAAATCTCAAAGTGAAGAGATAAAACAAAAGAAAAACTGAAGTAATTTGTTCGAACGGTCTGAAGATTTCTCAGATATTTGATTGTTTTTAAAATTACTGGAAAATGAGTAACCAACCGTACAACAAATTCTTTGTAAACAAGCAACCGGTTCTTTGGTGAACGGAAGACATTGCTAAGGTTGCATACAACCAACCACCAGAGCTGTTCCTCCGTTACTACAGATTACTGGAGCGGGATACGGT